GCACAGGATCCAAGAGCAGCCACGTAATGGTGGTAATGATGAAGAAGGAAATACACCCCTACTTCATTGTAAGAATCTGTGCTCTAGCTGCCGCAATTGTTTTTCGTGTTCCAGCTATCCGCATAGGATCCAGGAGCCCACGTAATGGTGGTAATGATGAAAGGGGAAGACACCCTTCCTTGTATGAATCTCTGTCCTCTAGCTGCCACAAGACCATGGTGCCATGTCAGCGTAGCACCGGCGGAATATCACAATTGCCAAAATGTTCCCAATGCAGGTACATGCTTGAGGGTCCTCGAGCACATCCCCGGTACTCACACAGCTTCACTGGACATGGTCGTGAGCAAAGGCCATGCCCTCCCTGCATCTCATATGGCGAAACCAGGACATGTAAAACCCTTGGGATTTGCAACCAGGGTGCGCACACATAATCCCAAAAATGTGCTTGGACGCTCATGTATGTGGGTGGCTTCTGGAAAAGGGATTGTGGATGCGAAGATGGGTTCACACAGACATATATGTAGGCATTCGTGCATACATATAGGAGCATTAGCACACGTAAGTGCGCATGCACATGCCTCTGTGCGCACACACATTTGGTGTATGTGCATGCACATGAATGGGCGAGGACGCGGGCACAGATGTTTTGGTGCTCACACAGCGCACCGAACTATCTATCTGTACCTGCGCCCACATATAGAGGCATGTGCCAACACAGTCATTTTGCACGGGGCGGCATATCAATAATTATGTAGCATGTTTCCTCCCTCAGATTTCGAAATTGAATTCAAGAACGCTTCCTTGCCTGGCATGACAAGCTACACAGCAGCTAGCCGTGTGCTTCTCGTAAACTTGCATTCGACGTCCACTGCAGAGGCAACAGTAGTCCGTCGCCGCACTAGTCTGCGCTGGGACGAAGCGTGAAGTGGATTGTCAGCTGATGTTTCATGCCGGGAGCAGGATTGTTTGCAGATTCGAGGCTTTGGTGCGGGCTTGGGGGTTTAGAGTTCAAGTGTTTACGGCCTAAGGTTTTTGGGGTTTGTGGGTCTCGAGTTTAAGGGCTTGGGATGTATGAGGTTAAGGTTTACGGGCCGAAAATGGCCATAGGGTGGGCTCTTCTTTTAAGATAGGCCCCTTTAAGCAAAGCGTGTTCCCAAGTGGCCGCTCCTGCAAAAGGATCTTTTGAACAACCAGCATGTTCTACGAAGCATGTGTGTTTTCACACCATACTACAAGCCCCAGGCCCTAGCCTGCACCGTTTGGGATGGATTTTTCTGGTTCTTCGCATTCAAACCTCATGGATGCCCAAAACCCCGATAACGAGGACCCACTACTGTAGGAGTAGGAGTAGCCAAAATCTTCTGATTATGCTGTGGATAGGGGCTGAACCCAAAGCTCGACATGAAAAGCACGCGGGCGGGAGGGATTTACCTAGAGATATAGGTTTGAACCAGTTTGCGCGGGAATAGATTTCGCGATCTTCCAAAATGTCGTTGGTTTCGGATGGTTTGCGCCTCTCACAGAAGGCACACCTACTTGAGAAGGAATACTCTCCTCTTCTTGTCCCTAGATACAACGAATTATTAGCACAATATGCACTGAGCGCACACGATTTAAAATGAGTAGGCCCTGTCTTAGACTCCCACCACACCCTGGCCAAGTTTATTCGTTCTATGTCCTGGCAATGGGGGGGCTGTTCCCGCGTGGCTATGCGGTGCAAGATACATGCGTTTAGCACGTAAGCAACAAAAAGGCAAATCCACGAGACATAGCTTGTGAATCAAATTGGTACATTGCTGCACGTAGGAGCGAACGCAGGCCTAGTTGTTGTGACAAACTCCTACTTTTTCTGCGCCCCGAAGCTTCGACATCAACACCTTCTACCGTGTGTCGACAAGACACACGCCCCAAACGTCTGTCGCAGTGTACGCTAGCGGACGGCAGCGGTCACTTTGGGATGGCGTCTCCCAAGCGCTTCGAGCTAGTTGGCAAGTTATCCGGTACAGTGTGAATTATCCAACAAAAATCATCTGTGCATCGTACCACGCCCAATACAGGGTTCTTATCACACCTTCATTTGTGTTATTACTGAGATGGACCTCCACCCACGGCAAACACAATAGTACCCTAACATAGTAATTCTCAAACTCATCTCCCCAGAGTCCCTAAAACATATTGGGCTCCTAAATTTTGTTAAACAGCAAATTTTCGCGTAACCTAAAGCATTACTTTTTCAGACTTTGATTGAAGCCACCGCGCAGATCGCGAAAACCTAGGGAATCGCAGAGAGCTCCCAAAAATCCTATGCTACCCCATCCCTCGAATCCGGTGGCCACTTGGAACTCCCCGCCAAGCGGCACCGCCCCTGGGAAAGTCAGTTCCCACGTTGGGACCCCTGTGGCATAACCTTGCTTAATAGGGTTGCTTGGTGTGCAGGTAAAGTCACAGTGGCATACAATAAAAAACACCTTCAAAGTACCAACACAAATAGGACTCAGACTTGTGAAGGTGAGGCAACTATACATTCAAGAATGAAATGGGATAGGGTTCTCCATGTGCATCTTTGCAGCTTCATCGGATAGGAGTTGCGCAAGCATTGCCCTTGCTATGTGGTGAAAAAGCGGAAAGCAGTCATGTTGGCAGGCTAGAACAAACAAGCCTCACACAATAGAGAATGGCTCAACGTTGGGTCTGACCACTAAACCCTAAACCCCTAATCCCGACGCAGCCCCTGAACCCACAAATGGAACCTTCCAGTCGGGCCCCAGCTTCCCGCATAAAGCAAAGGGGGTAAATCCAGGCAGGTTCCATGCTTTGGATAAGGTGTGGGCATATTTACCGGGTACTTCTGTATGTACTAACAAACCTCATAGCCCCTAGTATCATGGGATCCTAGACTACCCCCCCATATAAGCCTTAAAGAAGCCCTAATCAGGCTTCGTTTGGACTCTATTTTGGGAAGGTGGAGAAAGAGCTGGGTAGTGTAGGACCCCATACTACTTGATGATGAAAAACATTCTGGCATGTAAAAACCCTAAACCCTAAACCCTTAACCCGCATTCAAGCGGCCTTCTTTGACCCCAGGGGTGATCGCACGGCTTGCGACCTGGAGACAATCAGGGTTTAGGGTGTAGAGTTGGGGTTTATAATCCTCCTAATGTAGGTAGAATATGGGGTATATGAGGATCTTATTATAATATGTATGTATGTACCCAAAGCCATGTTCTGTCTACTTGAGGGGGACTGTCGGCGTTGAACCTGGCTACTCAAGCGCGATGGGAGTGAATTAGATGCAGACACACAGCTCACAATATCCCACATACAAGTCCAGCATGAGAACAACATGAAAGCTTTCCAGACCAGTGGCAACGGCAGCACCCTTCATTTAGACTCTTGGCCTGTGGTCTAATGAATTGGGGAGAGGTGGCAAGTAAAGCGTCGCGAACTTCCATGGTTCAGGGTTGAGGATCTGGGACTTCAGCTTTCGGGCCGAAGCTCAAACTGGAAAGTCTTGGTCTGCAGTGCCATATAACGAGAACCAGCGCAACAAAAAGTACGGCAGCCCAAAACCAATACGGACTCCTAGGAGCCCTTGGCAAGCAAAGAGGAGACACAACCAAAACCCCCTACTTGTACTTTCTTCACCCATGTCAAGAGTGCAGTCCGAGGAGAAACCTCCAAAGGTTACTGCCCCCACCCAGTAACAGTCTATAGTAGAGTAATAAGAAGGGCTGAATAAAACTGTACCATTTTTCTTATCCAACTTCTACTGAGCGGGGGCGGTACTCAAGGTATCAGCTCAAAAGTCTGAACCCTAAACTTCAAACCTTGGGCCCTAGAGCCTGCACCGAAGACCCGCAACTCAAAACGCTAGACCCTGAACCCTACACCCTAAACCCCAAACACTCAATCCTACAACTGCACGCCCTTAACCCTGAACCCCTAAACGCTAAACCCCCAGAGCCTCAATCCTACAAAGACCCTGGAAATCTAGGTTGGCCCATAAAACCCATTGAAAAATATTAGTATATAGGGTCCCCTATTAAAGCCACTAGGGAGAATATTAAATATCCCAGGGGCCTACCCAGAAATGGTCCTTAACCCTGGAAATTGTCCGGGTCCTGCCTCGGTAATTCCCGTCAAGCTCTGAAGGGGCTGGCTCTTTCTTAGCGGCTTAGGGTTTCTGAATTGGGGGTTTTGGTATAGATTGTCACTGGAAAGGCCCCCAACCCGCCCCCCCAAAAAAGGATGCCCTTAATAGACCAGGTACAATAATGGATACTCATCATCTGGAGGGTGAATTTTCTTTCTCTCTGAGTGTGTTTACAAGTCATCTCCGTAAGTTTGTTTCTCCGGTTGGTTGGAAGGCCGTAACAATGATCCAGAAGTTGCAAATTGATTAGGGTTTAGGATTTATGGTTGTGGCATTTCTGACAACTGCGCTCCAGGACACATTCTAGAATCTCTACGTATCATTAATCTCATGACTTCACGTGTTGGGAGGGCCCCTTATAAAGCAGTCAAAGCCCTTCTCTTTCCAAAAATGCAGACTAGAGCTTGGCATCACTGAAGACAGGCCCCTCATATCACGCACAGCTTTAGGATCCTCATGATGGGGACACCGGAAAATGCGCAAATAGCTGCTATGCTAGTGACCAACTTGCGCTTGAGAGGGCTTCATGTACCAAACCCAGCTTGACGTAGGAAATGGGTTTCTCGTCCAAGTTACACTGGGCTTTGCTTTGCCGCTCAGGGTTGGTGACCTCTCCTGTGGAGCACATGACGAACTGGGATCGGCCATGCGTCAGGCTGAAGCACCGGATCTCAAAATCCAAATGCCACACCCCGTCGCGCTCGACCAAAGACCTAAACGAAGGAAGGGCTGCATGAAAGTCATAATGAAAAACAACAGCAGCGGCCACCACCACCACCACCACCACGACTACCACCAGGCAACATCACCTCTTCCTGCTCCTTTTGCTAGCGCTAGCTAGTGCTAGGGACTTGGGCCAGGGCTACTGCTGGTGAGGGTGCTGTACGACTTCTACTAATACCACTACTACTTCCTAGGTGGGTGCCCATCCAAAAACAAAAGACGCTTCTATGACGCGTTCGACCGCGTTAGATGTACAGTCACTGGAAATGATGGACAGGCCACGTAAGTGGACATAATTGGACGCAGGTAAGCACGTCGTTCAAAGACTTCAGGTACAGTCAAAAATGCCGGGCAAAACGGCGGTCTTACGGATCCACATTAAAGTTTGGGGAAAGTTGATTGGTTGAGGTCTGCTTGTACGTAATTAACCCGCCCCTCGTCCACCCCGTCCCCCCGATCCACCCCCTCCAAAGCCTCCCCCCTAGTCCAACAAAAGCTAGCTCGGGTAAAGAAAATTTCAAGCAACATAGTTGGGGCAAAGGCTCTGGTAGTGAAAATTTCAAACCAGCATGGTTGCTAGGGGGGCCTACTACTACTTCTACTATTACTTCTGCTGCTGCTTCTACAACGACAACGACCACCACCACCACCACCACCACCACCACCACCACCACCACGATGACGACGACGACGACGACGACTACTACTACTACTACTACGATCTCCGTCTCCTGCTGCTGCTCCGATGACGACGACACTGATACGGCGACGCTAGCGAAGTCGCCCGTGGCTGCGGCGGCGGCGGCGGCGGCGGCGACAAGCATGATGCTGCGCGATAAGATACGATAAGGCAGGTTAGCATCATGAAGAGCTTCAGCGGCAGCAGTAGCAGCAGCAGTAGCAGCAGCAGTAGCAGCAGCAGCGGCTACACGGCGTAGGTCAGGCTGGGCTTGAGCGGTCAAACGACACAAGTGCCAGCCAAGCCACAGGCTCGTGGGAGCACCCATTCCTTGTCAGTTCGAGGTCTAGAACCCCAACAGTCTAGGGCTTAAGTGCATAACCTGATAAAGCCAGTTCTTTTCCTACAGCATTACTGAAAACACTAAGGAGCATCTTCAGACCCCCAGAGCAGGACGAGAATCCGAGTCCAAATAAGAGGCAACCCAGCCCCGGAATGTCAAGTGCCAATGCCGCCTCCCAGACCCCGGCCTCACCCTGCGTGAGAAGCCATAGAGCTAAGCCTGTCGTTACGCAGCCCAGCAGCAGCGCCCCAAGCATGAGGAGACGCTGCCCCACTCCCCAGCGCGCCACAAAGACTCCACTTCTGCTGATAGCTGGCATCCGTCGGCCCCCAGCTGCTGATAGCATGGCTGGCAAAGCTGAACGAGAAAACCTACTACGGCCCTGAGAACTATCCGGGATGCATTCCCCTGGAACTTCGCAGTGCAAGCAACTGCTGCCAGTATCCCCTGCTGAGAATGCTAAGTATCACCCCATTTTGCACAAGACATCCTCCTGCAACCTCAAGACGCTTGCAATCTTTTGAAGTCTACTTCACTCGTACATGAAACTACCAGAAATCAACGCCGCTACAGCATCCCCTCAGGCGGAGCCTCCAAAACCGTTGCTTCCATTGCTGCGCTCCCAAGAAAACAATAGCGAGAATAGTAATAATAAGAACGGTAGTAATAATACTATTACTAACAATTGTAATTGGATCTGGCAGATCTTCGGCCCTGCCCAAGCACGACTGTCAAGGCGCTTCTATGACAAGCATGTCACGCACGCCTGAACTGCATCGCCCAGCAGATCGTCATCATCCGTCTGGGCAAATAAAGGAAAGGACTTAGGACAGGCGTAGGGTTTATAGAAGGTTCTGACAAATTTGTATAATAAAAAAAAAAAAATACACGCAGTACCGGGCGCTTGGGACTTCTTCTTTGTTATTCTTCATGTAAGGAACCCCAAATCTGGGGAGGACCTCTGTGCAGGCTCATGGCACCCTCAAAAGGATCGCGCATGGTTTGAGGCTTAGGGTTCAAGGTACCTCTTCCTTCCTCAGTGCCATGTTGGTCCTCCTTACAACAACATGGCCATTTGGACTCTCACACAGGTCTCATCATCGGGGTGGGGGGGTACCAAAATCTCCTTGCAAGTACAGGGCAGCATGGGCGGGGAGCAATACCAGTGTAAAGGGTCATTTTGGGGCAACCAGGCTCTCACTCAGGCGCTAGCTACGTAGTTTTGATGACCACCGCCAGCCACTCCTGGCAAAATCCAACAGCAGCGTCTGAAATCTCTTGAGCAGAGACATCAGAAGGCTATGATTCTTAACGTTGATAGGGAATACGAATGGTCCTGAGGACAAACCTGACAGTGACAACGCCACACGAGCTACATGTGATAAGCAAAACGAAACCAGCGTCAACCCTGGCGCCCGTGACAGTTTGTAAGCATCGCTACACAGCAGCAGCTGACAGAATCGCCATGATCTCCCTAAGAAGTCCAAGCTGAGCTCAGAACCTGCAAACCTAAGAGGATGGTGCAAAGGGTTTAGGGTTTAGGGTTTAGGGTTTTCAAAACAGGTGGTTTAGGATTTAGGGTCTATGGGGGCATTCATGCTGGGGGGGAGGGGTAAAGACGTTGGACGCTATCTACGATTATCAAGGCGGGACCTGACCATTTTCGTGTAAGCCTCTCCCCTAACATTGCAGCTCCCCACAACCTGATACCAAAAATTTCCAATATAGTATACTGACCATTCTGTCTGCACTAATTTCGGGCCTAATGATGGAACCGGATCTTAAGTTACTGAGTAAAAGCCAGCATTCCGTGTAAGGTCAGGTCGGATGAGGTCGTCATAGTTTGCCCAGGTGTTGTATAAGACAATAGGAACACTTGATAAATGAACCCTAAACTCTAAACCCTCAACCTCTAATCCTAACACCTAAACCCCAAACCCCTTAACCCAAAATGCTAAACCCTAAACCCAGGGTCAGGTCTGCATGGTTTAGGCTTGAGGTGTCGGTTGCAGCACCTCCGAAGCTAGGAAGGTCTATTACGACATGCTAATGTGATCCGCGATCATATTCACAGGAAACTATAACTGCAGGATATTGTCTGGCCATACCTTGGGATTTCCCCTACCTAGATTTAAAAAAAATTGTCTTGTCGTGTTTTGCTCACTTTGTTGGGTCATACTGAAGGCCTTACGCACCCTACGGCTTCTACACTCCCACATCGCTCAGGTTGGTGGCGGTGCTTTTTCGTGCAAACAACTGGCTGACCGCTTGCCTATCCAAAAGTCATCCTTGAAAATTGTGAGAGTGTCGGCGTTGGGGGGGATTAATGGGTCTGCCCCACTTGCCCCACTTGACCCATTTGACCGACTTGACCCACTTGCCCCATTTGCCCCACTTGATTGCAAAGACAGACCGCTGACATGCTGACAATCTAGAAAGCCTCCATCTCTGCATCCTCATAACAATTCAGAGACATGCCCACGAGGAAGGACGGTCGTTTGTACTAACTCCACGGATACTTCGCATTCACTTGTGCGGGGTTCGTGCTGCGCTTAACAGAAACCTTACAGAAATGGACCCATGCCGACCACAATAGGGATGTCATCAGGACTGTATAGAAGCTCATGAGTAAGCCAGCCGGACCAACCGTGCACGCCAACGGTGAGAATGGCCTGAACGAGAAGTCTTGAGAGCCCCAGGCCCCATTCCTCAAGTAAGGCCACGTAAGCTTGGCAATGCTTAGAAGCAAGGTGGCCAAAAAAGTGACCTACCCAAAATGCACGCCCCAATGTAACCCAAGGTTCCTATCAGGATTACCGAGCCGGTTGCTTCTGGATAGTGACCAACAAACGCATGATACCTCTGCAACTACAACCGGAAACACAAGGGCATAAGCGAGCTCTACATCGAGAGAGCACGCGGGTGACAACTGACACGACATGTAGATAGAGTACAGCAAATCGATTGCAAACAGCTGGGGCTGCCCCATGACTGGGATTGGGGTTTAGGGGCACTAGACTCCGTTCAGGACTTGAGGCTAGCCATAATACAAATCATGCAAGCATGCTCCTGAGATCGCCAGGATACAGAATCAGCAGTATCACCCCCCAGACTATAAAGCCTGACAAAACGCCTTGAGTTTAGGTTTAATTTGGGGCTGTGGTAGTGCAATACATAAGTGACAGACGAGCTTGGCTGAGTGTTGGCCCCTGGTATCAGTTACTATTCTCTCTTGCACTCCTCCATTTCTGGGATACTGCAGCGGAATGCTGCAATGGAGCGTAGCTGGGCTCAAGATGTGAATGACGACAGTTCCTTAAGAAGTCTTCACCACGCACATGTAAAGAGCACACTGCTCTCTTGCCTTTTTCACGTGCACAGAGCACGGTGCCGATGGCTCTTATCGGCCTATTGAAGGGGCCCCTTCTTAAGCCAAAGCTACAGAAGGAAGCCCTATGCACAAGTAGGTCAGTGCAGTTGACAGCATGCTTTGCATCTCACTTGCACCAACCCCAAAAGAAAGATCAACTGCACAGCTCTTGGTTCGGAAAATGGTCCACATCGATGCCATCATCGTACAAGAGCTTGATCACGTCCAGCGCACTCTTGCCAGCGCGCTTGCTTTTCTTCGCGCTCCGGAACAAAGGGTCATACTTGATGGCCCATCGACCAGTCTGAAGAAAACGAAGAAGACCTTGTCGGGCTTCTGCCTTTCGCTTTGTCAAGGCATCGGCAAGGTCATAGTCACTGGCCAGCCAACGCAACTCCGTCCCAGTCCGGCGAAGATTGTCTCTGAGTTGGAATGCTTGAAGAGCTGCACGCATGTTGCTTAGTCCCAGCAACGGGCTTTCATTGACTTCCACTGCATCATAGCCTCCACGAGAGTCAGTGCAGACAATGCCCTTGACCCGGAGAGCTTGCTGCTCCATGACATCAACCAGATCTTCACGTTGAGCTCTGGCAGGATGTAGGCCGCCAGCGCCGTGAAGCTCGGACCAAAGCAAGCGGGCCCTGAAATTGCAATCTTCTGCTTCCAGAACTGATTGCACTTCTGCATCATTCGACCCTATTGCCTTCCGTTTAAGTTTCCACGTTCGCCAGCTCAAAACGTCCATCTCGCAGATATGTCCATGAATACAGGATGGTCCGGAGAGGAGAGTGATCATCCCGCCGGTACTGTCTCCGCGCGGCCTGTTGCCGTGAGCTTGATCTCCCATGCTTACGAAAATGACATCTGTCCAATGATGTACGTCAGGAAGTCGTCGAAACTTCAGCGTGTAGGCTTCTTGTCTAACCTCGCTGATCATGAGCTGGATTTCACGAGCAGTCTCCAAGGTGCCGTTGGTGACCAGTTCGGTCAGTAGAAGGTTACAACGAGCACAAAGTTGTGGCTGAGATTGCACAGCCAGCCATTGCAGAGATCCCAGAGCGGTCCTGCAGGCGTCAATCTCGGACTTATGAAGTTCACCCTGAGATCGAAGGCGATCAGGAGAAATGTCCACATCCATGAGCGACTCGATGTAGCATTCCTGGCTGACTGTGATGAACTTCCAACCGCGCTCATCCACGGATGTCTTCACATCCGTGCCGGCATGTCTATAGCTGCCTGACTTGATCATGCCCCAGGTATAGGCCTTGTCGATAGCCTTCTTGATGGAGAGCCATTCATCCGAGCTGTCACCAATGCGGTGAAAGTCGTCAACATGACCACCCATTGCACCGATCGTCAGGGGACGGTCCCCATCCAGACGATGCTTGGAAAGCCAGATCCACAAGCAGCGCTCGCCCAAAACTGGTTGTGCGCCCAGAGAAGTCAGAGTCTTGTGGAGATCTAGCCAGAGTCCTCGAGGGGCCGTGGTGCTTCCGTAGATGTTACGGAGAATCTTCATGATGCCCTCCTCACCAACACCTAGAGCTTCTCGGAGCTCAGCAACACCACTTGTCCACAAGTCACGGTCCGCCTCAGTGGGTTGTGTTTGCAAGAAAGCCGTGCTCAAGTCCAGACCTTCCAGCTCCCACTGCTTGTGCGCGGCCATGCTATACAGCAGGTTGCGTCCAAGAGTGCTTTGTACGGGCGAGGATGTCTTGTAGTTGCTGTCTAAGAGGCTTGGGTGTTCGAAGCCCAGCAAAACAATTCTCGCCTTGGCCTTCTTCGTGCCACTCGCGGTGTGGGTGGTTGTCGGATTGTCTCGGGCATCATCCTTAGCAGCTAGCTGGTCTTCCGGAGGCACAGATTTCCATGTCAACACCCAGCGTGCTCTTACCACACGCTTGTTATCAAAGGCTGATCGCACCTCTTCACGGTTCTGACACTTTCGCACAGCCTCATTCTTGATGAAGGAGTCCACGTCCTTGGCCTTTGCACGGACAAAAAGGAGACGTTCAACAGCCGACAACTTTGTAAGCGAAACTTCAGAGTCACGAAGCTTCTTGACCATGAAAGCCACTGGATTTCGCTCAAGAAACTTCCTTTGACGGTTGGAGAGATCGCCAATCTCGAACTCCAGTTTGAGGCACTCCATGTCATCGTCGGCTGTCTCCAGGAAGGTGAACAAGTCGTTCGCTTCTTCGAACAAGGCCTCCGCATGGAGTTGTTCCACCCAATTATCCTGTTTTGGTTTTTTGGCCGCCGGCTCGGTTGACGGCTGATCATAATCATTGACCTCCGTGTTTGGTCTTGTAGTGGAGGATGAAGGAGGTCCGGCAGACTCTTGTTGATCTTGTTCCGGTAAGGGTTCTGGCTCTTGAGGCTTCTTGAACCGAACTCGTCGTGACGGTGGTGCGACGACAGTGCTGGAGTCTGGCTCAGGAGGTAGATCAGGTCGTTCTACTTCATCAGCATGGGGTACTTGGTCAGTCAGGTCCGTGTACTCGCGCTGAGGGAGGATGTCCCGTAAGGATCGCCACTGAGATGGCTGTTCTTCTCCCGATGTTTCGTATTGGAAGCGCTCTACCTCTGTCACCGGTCTCACAGAATGTACCGAACACCTGTAGAGTTGGGACCCTATAAGAACCCAGACGACATGACGGCGGTCGTCACCGGCTTGCTGATGTGGCAACACTTCGCTGAAAACCACTCGGCCAGGACCGACCCAATGTGGTCTACCGGATTTGCGTAGTCCTCCACGTGGGCCTTGGTACTGCTGCTTGGGCCATACCCGCCGCCAGATTTTTACCAAATCCATAGGAGTAAATTGGCGTAGAGGTTGTCGAACCGTAGAGTTCGCCAGTTTGGAAAGGATTCGCTTGGCGCGGGTCTTTGTGGCAACCTGCTCGGCCTGTTGCCTAGCAGTGATCAGCTTCACAAACTCTCCACGAAAATCAGATCCATGAAAAGTCCGGACATCTTCGTCGGAAAGGCTATACTGTTGACCGAATGCCCACTGAAAAGCTGAGTATCCAGCCGTGTACTCGGTGGAGTTGAGTGCTGACGCAGCCAGGTGCAGAGTCACCATGTAGTCTTGGTCCAAGGCCTCCAACTGAATGGCTGAAGCCGTCATCTTGATGTCCTGAACCACTGCTTCCACTATTCCATGCGCCCAATGCTCTTTCTCGGCCACAAAATGCACCTGAATGTTGAGTGAAGATGCAAACTCGTGGAAGGACTCGGAGATGAAGCTCTTCCCAGAATCCATCATGAGTACTTGTGGCTTCGGGAAGGTTGATAGCCATCGCTCCGTGAACGCACGGGTGACATCCTCGGTGGTCTCTGTGCGCATAGCCACGATGTCGTAGATGTAAAGAGGATGTACTACCCATAGTTTGGTCGCCACGTCCACGAACACCAGGAACTTAACCTTGTGCTTGGAATGTGGAACTACCCATTCACCAGTGTCCACACCAACGGAATGCCATGCTGGAACAAGACCCATAGTAGACGCCGGAGGTATTTGACCACTGGAGGTGCCGCCCAACTTCAGGGACTGACAAGCAGGGCACTGATGATCTAATGCCGCTTGCACACGCCATTCTTCATGTCCAGCCTCCTTGACAATTCGAGCTAGGTTGCGATTGGTGGGATGTCCGGCAGCTTTGTGAAACTTGGCAATCTGCGCCTGCCAATTTTTGAACGTGGCTTCATCTACCCCTTCTGGCAGAGTCATCGTCTCAGCAGCCATGGAAAGCTGTACCTTACAAGGTGGAGGAAAGCCGCGTTGACGAAGACATTGAAGATCTGAGGAGGGAAGAGTCGATGCCAGTCTTGTCGTATACGCTGAGACAGCGATTCGATATCCATCCCACCGTTGTGAAGCATGCCACGCTTGGGGATCAAAGGAGACTAGCTGTCGTTGAGCCTGAAGAATATGGCCTTCGTGAAGACGCCCATCTGGAGCCTTGCGTCGGACAATGGGTCGTCCATCCGGAGGTTTGCCAGCTACCCACAGTCCGCCTTGTCCAAAGGAGCCGACACATATCAAGTGGTTCTGTGAGCCTTTTTCATTATGATAATCTCGATGAGGTAAGGCAGGACAGTCAAAGGAGATCATCACGCTTGACCAGGAGGCTTCTGGCATATGTTGTCGAAGAAAGCCATTGACATACCTGACCAACTCACTATTCTTCATGGTTGCACCACTGATACCTCCAAGATGTCCATGAGAGTACGCTCCCAGAACCAGCACAGAACCCTTGCTGTCTCGCCAACGGGAGTGGTGAACTGAGTGGCCAACCGATTGTCGAGAGGCCGCCAGGAGAATCTGTTCCAGGGCATCCACGGAGAAATTCGCCTGAGCCAGGCGTCGTAGAACAAGTTGCCGAAACGATTCTCTTGCAGAGGCAGCAGGTTCACTGATCACAGTGACTGGTTGAATGAAATCAATCTCCGGAATGTTCACATCATCGTGGAAGTCCTCTAGATTGTAGTCCATATGGAAGGATTCGTTATCGGATTCCATGAGCTCCATGTCAGCCAGAGACGGAAGATCATGACGAAGTCCAAGGAGTCGCTGATGACGATGAGGTACAAGTTGTTGACTCCAGTGTCGGGCTATGGCCTGTACCAACTTCCATGGGTAGTATGAAGAGGCTGAAGTGTCTCGGCCTTCAATGGTCTTGTGGACATGGTTGCCAGGACACACCTTGGCACGAAAGGTCTTGTGAAAGTTCTCATCCGTGGTCTTAATCAGCCACTTCTTGTGAATAAAGAACTCTCCCTTTACATCCTTCATGCCATAATTGCAACCATCCACACGACAGTCTAACCAGGGGATTCCATGGGCCTCAAAGTGCTCCTTCAGATCTACCATAGGTTGTTGTCTCCATCCATAGGAAGGCCACGGCCACTCAAAGTAGACTTGTAGATGAGGATCAATCTCTAAGGACTCCTTCAAAAAGGCGTTCAAGTTCCATAGCACACGTCGATCCTTGCGGCGAGCGGCCGCTAGTCGCTCTTGCTTTTCCGGAGTATTGAAGTTGATGGATGACCACATACTCCAACGAGTGCAGGGGAGACTGATCCATAGCTTCTTGGGCCGATGGCGATCTCAAAGAACACGAAGATGTGACCAGGTAGAGTCCTGGTACAGATCATAACCATTCGCCAAGTTGATGCGCCGAGCCTTCAGACCGTTCTCCTCCGCTGCCTGACTCAACCAAGAGTGGGGTGCGCAGGCTACTTCCCAAAGACAGTCACGATGACCAAAATGCAGACCCATCAGCAGGCTTGACATAGTGGTAAGCATCATGGCGGCCAGCGCCATGACCTTCTTGCCCATGAAAAGTGGCAACGATGTAGATGTAGATGCCGATGAGGTCGATGAGGACACCTTCTGCACATTCTTTGGGATTGATGCCGTGGCGCTCGCTGTAGACATCCGGGAGAATGAGGACTTAGGAGCTGACGTAGAAGGAAGTCGTTCTGGAGGAGACTCGGCATTTACTGCTGGTGGTCCAGAGCCGCATAGGCCTCCTCGATGCTCATCTCTTGGGGACCCGGCACTGGCTGCCAGCTGTTGATCGAAGATTCCGGAGGTGATATCGGAGTAGATGATGTCTGAGCAGGATGCTCGGTCGTTGGGGTTGTCGAATTTCCGGTTGTTCGATGTTGAGGACGAAAGTTCTCTTCGTGCTCGCGGATCAGCTTGTTCAGTTGCTCCTCCGCATCGATCTTCTTCTGCATGGCTGCGCAGATACTGGCCGTCGGCTTGATCTTGTCTTGGAGAAGGCTGCGCAGTTCTGTCAGCATGCGCCTTGTCATAGCCGGGTTGTCGAGCTTGGTCGTCTGACCGTGTGAACCCACACGCGGGATGTACTCCATGCGTAGGTTGCAGACTGCGCAATGGCGCCAGGCTCCGTGCATGTTGCTCTGGGGTCGCATTGGCACATGCTGTCCCATGCAAGGCCATTGCTTGTCCTCCATTCTCGGATCGCGGGGATCCGCCTTGAGGATTCTCTCGTAGTCCAAGGGTGCCGCCTTGGCCTTGGGTCGAGTCTGGCGGCGAATGTGGTCCGTCACGTCGCGCTCGGTGGGCATGGCCATCATGAGAACTTGGAGAGGAAGTTGTCGGGGTCAAAATATGTGCCTGATGCACTCTCATTGAAGATTGAGCTGATACAGCTGAGGCACGTAGAGCCTGTGAAGCATCATATAGACGCCACATGCGATCTCGAGCGACTTGTAGCTCACTTTCATGGAACACATGATCAGCAGCAGTCAAGTCAAAGAAGGCAGTGTTTAGCTCAACATACGAGTGATCCTCAACTGAACTTGACATAGGAGGCCCTCCTCGAACCTTTATATGAGCATGACCCTCGTGGTTCACTCGCCCGTGAGTCAAGTACTGTACCACATCCAAGACATAATGCCCTTTGGTGTTGGTTTCAAGCTGAAAGATGGAGGGATTCGACTCTCGAGTATTCATGGCAAGACCTGTGGTGAAGTCAATCATCATCCCAACGCCCCGAGGTCCAAGGTGATCCATACCTATCAAGACGGGAACTAGGGTATTCTTGTCAAAGTCCGCCTGGAAGTACTCGGCAGGATTGGGAAGCATATACAAAGAAAAGGTCTTGCGCTCACCCGTAATGAGACTTGAGAGATGAACCCTGCAAAGTGCTCTGCCCCAGCGACCATTCCCAAACCTGAAATATGGACGAGCGGACTGATCAATCTCCACAGTCGTGGACCGGTCCTGTGCCAGCACAGATGAAATGAGACTTCGCACTACCGCCTCAGGTGCTGCCGACGCGGTCGCTCCACAGTCCAGCATGCCTCGTGAAGGCGTAGAAGAGGACGTAGACGTTGAAGCAATCTCTTGAGAGTCGGCCAGCTCAAAGGCGCCGGCGAAGAGTTCTTGGTTGTAGGCATTACAGTTCGATAGCCTTCTCGGGGAGATGACTTGCTCTTCCCCTTGGATTTTCCTTTCCAGGCCGCTTGACCCTCTAGCCAGTATCCATGCTTGCCCTTCGCCTTTGATTTGCCCTTGCCCTTGCCGACGTAGTTGTGGTAGAAGTCGTCCGATTCCATCCAATAGTTCCGAAACTTGCCCTTGCCATTGAACTTGCCGCCGTTAAAGGACGGGTGTCTCCGGTCAGGACAGTCTCTGGACATATGATTGCCGCCGCAGTTGAAACATCGAATGGTTTGTCCCCCGCCGGAAGAGGAGGGACCACCAAAGCCACGATCCTTGCGTAGTTGCTGGGTAGCCCTTTGGGCCTCCGACCATGTCCGAGTTGCTTCCATTGCGAGGTTCTCGGCCATACGCTCAGCTTGTTGAGCTTCACGAAGAGCCGGATCATCACCAGCTGGACCTGAAGAGGTGTCGGGTTCATGAGCAAGAGCCTGAAAGCCTTGTTGAGGTACGTCTTCCCACCAATCATGGTCCCACTCATCGTCACCCCATTGTCCAGCATAGTAAGACGAGGACCAGTCATCCCATCCATCGTGCCAAGCATCTGACGATTCAGGATCAAACCAATCGCCCTCATCAACTGAGGCCGTGAAGTTCTGGAAGGTGTTGCCATTTCCTCGTCGATGCCCAAGGAGTTGCTCGTCCCACAAGTTCTGAAGAGCTGAGGCAATAGTCTCATAGTCCAAGGAATTCTTGGTGGTGGAGAGAATGTCGCGCTTTTCTTCAGCGGTCAATCCCGCAGCTTGTAGAAGTCTCCAGCCGCGAAGCACCTCCATGATGAAGCTGTCAGCAACCGAAAGTTCATCCAGAGGGATCTTCTTGGAGTCCGGTACAGCGTCTTCATGAATGGTGACTAATGGTGGATTTGTCACAGAGCCGCCTTCAGCCCGATGACTCGGTGAAGATCCTGTTGCTCCGACGGGAGCACCATCAGCATCTCCTGAAGGACCTTGAGGAGCTGAACCATCACCATCTCCTGCCGGTGAATCGGGTTGTCGTGCAGGTTCAGCGCCATCTTCATCTCCACCTGGCCAGTCATCATCGTACCAGCCATTCCACCACGACCACGAGCGATCGTGCCATTCGTCATCTTCATCTGAAGGCAGGCCAAAGTCCCGGCCTGATTCTGACAGTCCGAGGCGATCCTCGTGAAGTCGAATAATCGCCTCCACGAACTCTTCATGGACCAGAGTCTCTCTGACGAGAAAGTTGCCGATCGTCTCGCCAGAACTCCGCCTGAAGGAAAAGTACTGTTGACAGATAGCAGCAGCGTTGGGAAGTGTCTTCCTCACCAACGTACTCCCAGCGAGTCTCTGTAGCAAGAGCTTCGTTCCATTCGCCTGGTCAAACGTCAGCTTGGACCAGCTCATAGCCAAAAGCCTTGCCGGGCCACCCAGACGGCTAAGCAGCTTGGAAGCGCAGTAGCGCCGTTTGTGAGTCGGGGTGCTCTGCACGAACCATGCTACCTCCCGGGTGTAGCGTCTCCAGGATCTTGCCGAGCCGTCCCATGAAGGTATCACAATGAAAAGGAGAAAACTGCACCAGTCTAGTGCAGGCAGACACCAGGTGGCAAGAATCCACTTCAATCGTCACGAAAGCTGGTGTCCTGGAGAGGTCCCTGGAGCGTAAGCTGCTCCGCTACCAATGCAGCGGAATGCTGCAATGGAGCGTAGCTGGGCTCAAGATGTGAATGACGACAGTTCCTTAAGAAGTCTTCACCACGCACATGTAAAGAGCACACTGCTCTCTTGCCTTTTTCACGTGCACAGAGCACGGTGCCGATGGCTCTTATCGGCCTATTGAAGGGGCCCCTTCTTAAGCCAAAGCTACAGAAGGAAGCCCTATGCACAAGTAGGTCAGTGCAGTTGACAGCATGCTTTGCATCTCACTTGCAGATACCCTTAATGAACCCTGGCCCTAAATCCTAAACCCTAAGGGGCCCGTTCATGAAGACATGTTTAGGTTCAGGCTGATTTACGGGGGAACCTAGGGTATAAAGAGGTAGAAAGGGATGTATGAGGATTTGTAAGTGGGTCTTATAGCCTGTGGTCTGGGTCCTGTGGTGCAGGGTTCATAAACGGTTTATGGGGAAGTTTTAAGAAGAGTTCGTCGTTCCTGGGCCATATCTTTCTGTGGCTTATCTCCAAATGGGGAGCATATAACCTAGGAGCGAACACATATAGGGTTTAAGGTTGTGGGAATGGTCTAGGTAGGCATATTACGAAACACTAGTGTCATGCACAGTGCTAGTTGTCAGGGACCATAAGATATTACCTCATGTAACCCCTACATATACCACGTCATTCTCCACACGCTTCCCCATTTACTCTAATCCTGAATCCTAAATGCCAATCCTAAATCCTAAACCCTCGAGCCTGAACCCTCAAAACAAAATTCTAAACCCTGAGCCCTGAACCCTAAATCCTGAATCCTAAGCCCTAAATCCTAAACCCTAAACCCCATTGTAACTTGAGCTTTTCCCTAGGGCCAGCACTCCGTCGCGCACGTCCTCGGCCTCCAGCACAGCATCATCCCGTAGCCATTTCTGCTCAAGCGGCGACATGTTGGGACAATATGGGAGTTTCCCATAATTAGGGGTGCCTTTTGGGAGTCCCCATAATAAGGACTCTAGTCTATTGGGGTCTATATTGGGGTCCCCCCATTTTGGGAAACTACCATATAAGGGTTTAGCATTTAGGGTTTAAGGTTTAGGAAATAACGTTTAGAGTTTAGCCTCGAAACTGGAAATAGGATACATATTGGGATTATATAGGGGGTTATCTAGGAATAGTACCCCGATAATGCGGAATCAAATAGCAAGAAATTCAAATGTGAAGGAAACTGGGTTTTTGTAGGATAGGGGTGTTTCAAATAGAGGGCTAAAATATGGAGTCTTAGGATTTAGGGTCTGCAATTGAAGTTTTTGGGTTTAGGCAGGGGTGAGGCTTGAGGTTCGGGAAGTTTTCCATAACAAGACCTGCGCCATCTTGTAAGAATGCTCAGTAAGGACATTGCAAAACACTCGTGAAATCCGTAACAACTAGAAGGAGCAATAGAAGATAACCTGATCACAAGTCGAGCCTCTTCCTGCCTACGAATGCATAGTTTCCATTTTCTTTTCCGTTATCCCTATACAACAACTATATAACCCCATTAAAGTGGTTTCCATTTTCTTTTCCTATATCCCTATATAAACCCCAAATATTACCCCAATGGTGTTGGGTTCAGGGTTTGAGGTTGGTTCGTCTGGCCTGAGAGTTTTGAACTACGGGTAGAACAGCAATGCCAAAGAAAACTCGACGACTGATGGCTATTTCTGCCAGCTTTAGATATAGGGGTTATATAGGGGTTATACAGGAGACACATGTGGGATAATGGAAAACAAAATGAAAACTACTACATTATTATAGAAGCGAAAAGTAACGGCAACCATGGCATTTGCATCAATATTCATCGTCACCGTCCTCTTCGTAGTTGAAGCATCTTCGTTCTAGCTCTTAGCAATAGCAGTAGCACTCATTGTTTCACATGTAGTAGTTTCCCAAAACAAGGGAACCGCAATTTAGACCCCAAAATACTATAGTCCTTATTATTGGGACCCCTAAAATGGTACCCCTAATTTTAGGAAACCACCATGTTGCTTGTAGCAAAAGTTGGAAGATCAATGACCTCAGCGTCTCTCAAACCTACAGGTGTCCCCCTAAACCCTCAACCCATCCTGCCAAAATTGCAATCCTCGTCCAGGGAAGCCCCACTGCGAGCCATGATGTCAGGACATCTGCAAAGGCTGCCATAACCCCAAAAACCTAGGGAAATGTTGCCCAAATTGTGGACAAAATGGAAAATGACACAGAGACTGTGGTTATATAGGGCTTATAAGGGGAATTACAACTACTCCAAACCCAAGCCTGCAAGCTGCAACATGAAAAGCAGCCGATGCGAGACATCCCCACCTGTCTGGAGCCTTCCTCAGCATTTTGAAAGAAGATCTCCTGACATTTGCTATAAGGCTTAGGGTTTAGGGTTTAGGGGGTCGTCCATAATTTTGTACGCCTTATTTACCCTAAAACCCCTATGCAACCCCTATATGACTCCCATATGACTCCTAAATGACTCGTAGGTACCCCTATAACTCAAAAGTATGGGGCCCTAGAACATCCCACAGGATGCAAGAGCGGGAAGCAGAGGAAGACACAAGCCCGGATGAGGCCCAGGGTGGATTTGGGGCTTAGGGACTTTGGGTTTAGGATTTAAGGTTTCGCGATTCAAGATTTCAGGTATGGTTTTGGGTTCCGTGTCACCCTGGATGGCTTGCAGGATCTGATAGCATGGCAGGGCACAGGAGTTGGCCTTTCTAGTAGACTCGGCTTCAAGAGGGTTTATCGTCATCTGGAACTGTAACATAAACACGGTTTAGGGTTTAGGGTTAAGGGTTTAGGGTTAAGGGTTTAGGGTTTAGGGTCTTAACCCTAAAACCCTAAACTCTCAACCTAAACTCTATCCATCCCACAGCAGCCCTACCCTTCTGCCTAAGGGTATTGCCCTGGGAAGTTGGGATCCCCGGTTCAGGGTTTGGCAAGCAAAGACCTCGCTGTCCCTGGGTAACCCTGGGTAACCCTGGGTTTAGGGTTTAGGGTTTAGGGTAACACAGTAAAACGAATTCCCTAAATTAGGCCAAAGCGCCAGTAGTTAGCAACGCTCTGGGATAGTTGATGCTTAACGACTGTTTCCCCCTGAAGGTGCGTTGAGCTCTTGCACTCCCAACTGACACTGACAGCCTTGCCTCTACGCATCAAAACCACTGGATGCCTTCTTCGAACTTGGCACCCCGCCAACTGGTAGGTGTACATACAAACTCCCCAAGGAAGGTTTTAGGGTTTAGGTCTAGGCACGCATGCCCCAGAACCGCCAACATGCCAAATGACTCCAACACCAAACTTTGAGTAAACCTCTCATGGCTTCACGCCCACAACCCTCAAGCGCGCAGGCGGCCACCATGTCATCCACAGGGATGTTACAGGCCTTCAGTCATAGTCCCCCTTAGGTAGATAGAATATGGCTTTGGGTATATTATAATACGATCCCCATGTACCCCATAGTCTATCTACTTACGGGGGACTTTTTGCCAATAACTTGAGGCCTCCTCTTTTGAGAGGTGCTGAAAAGACTGGCAAATGTTCCAAAATCTTTCAAGCTCTTTTTCTTTCGGCTGCCGGAAACATTCATGGACCATATCATTCTGGGGGTTGCTTCCTCACAAAAGTTTGAGGAGAAACTGAGTTAAAGTGCACAGGAAAGGCAGTGAATAGGCGCTTGGAAAGGGTCAACTTGTCAACTACATGAAGCATATGATCGGTGGGCCTGGTGAAAGGGCCTTACCTGGTAGCAACTCTAGTACGGCGCCTCGCATTTTGGAGGAAGTCTCTACATATGGCTATGACATGCGTGAGGACTCGCCGAGCTTGCTGTGGCCACCAGGCGCAACACCGCTTCATAAACAGCACTAGCAATAAAAGCAGCGAAAATGCTGGGAATCGTTGTCGCGGCAGTCTTGTCACATGTCATCATCGCCACCATCACCATCACCATCATCATCACCATCACCATCACCAATGATCGTCATCATCATCAGCAGCAGCAGCAGCAGCAACACCAAAGCATAAAGACCTGGTGACACTGTGAATGAGCAGATCAATCAAATCTACGTGCCTGGTCTACTTGCTCTTTATGAATGCAAGCCTGACTGCACTCCATCGCATGGCAGTATCTGAAGTAGGCGACGTGCTGGGGCTGTGGGTCCCGTGATACGCGTCTCAGAATGTATACTTGATAAGGTGCCATACTGTAGTCCTGTCAACTTGGGCCACGACTTTCTCCAGCTCCTTCTTAAGCAGCGCACATGTATCCTGGCCAGGCGGAGCAAGCGTGTAGATCGATTCTCGCAGCAGCAGAAAGAAGGACAAAGATCCGTGCTGAATTGTTGTTGAACATGCTCAGCAGGAGCCGTGTCCAACTACGAACCGTTGGATACCCTCTGTTGGTAGTTGCGTAGCTACCTGTCTCAAATGCTCCAAACGAATACCTATCTTGAAGCACTTAAAGTCGTATGTCCGTACTGTACGGATCCCTCTAAGACAGACGGATAATTTTGATAATCCTGCAAGGCCCCCCAGAGGTCGATGATCTCCACGTGCCACAGTCTACGCATGAGGAAGTTTGCTAAATTTTCCTAAAACGAGGGGAAAACGGGGGGAACCAATGTAGCAACTTTTGCTAGATTGCAAAACCCGAATAGAAGTTTCCGCCTACACTCAGAAGTCTCTTATTGCAACTTGGCTAGGCACTATTCACCTAACCTTTCCCTTACCTGGGAGTACCACTGACAAGGGCCAGTTAAAGATTATCTTGCTCGCGACCTTCACTGGCTGGGGGATAGGCAGGAAGTAAAGGAATTTCTTTAATCGCTATATAACCCCATAACCCTCATTCACCAAGGAACAAAACAACAGATTCAGATATGAAACGCTGGCAGGACATCCAAGCCCAAACCCTAAGCACTAAACCCCATAAACGCTAAAACCCCAAATACTCCACGCTAAACCCTACACCCTCAGCACTAGATCCTACATGCTGAGCTAGACCCTGGACACTTAATCCTAAACCCCAAACCCTAAACCCTAAAACCTTCAACCCTAAGCCCTAAACCATAAACCCTGTGGTCCCTGGCCTTGCGACTGGCTTTCAGCTCTACCTCATCTCATGGCTCCACGGAATGGGAACTGGGGTGACAGCTAATGCAAGGGGGAATGACCCAAAGTTGGCAGTCCTCCGTAGAAGAAGGATTTCTCAAGGGATGGAGCAGGGTCCCTGTGTAGGATTCCTGTTTGCAAATTTTGAGAAAATTCCATATGGACAAATGTTGGAGTAGGAGGGTTTCGATGCCCAGCAAATGGCCGGTGCGACAAAGCCTCAACCCTAAAATAAACCCCATATCCTAGGTGCCTCGGCTAGGCCATGCAATGCGGAGTCTTTGAAGTTTTATGCGATCCTGCCCCTCCCCAAATTTGTACTTTGTCCAGTACGATTCAAAGGCAATCCCTTTAGACCCTTATGGATTCAGCCAGTACGCCTGCAGAGCTCTGCTGCAATACAAATTATAGGGACGATGTGGGAATGATGTTGGATGATGCGGGCTGACGTAGGGCTTAGGCGGATGCTATCTGAAAGGATCGGATCAAATTGAAAAGAAAAATGGCAAGTGAGTGGAAACTGGAAACTGCTATAATGTGGTGCTTTATAGGGTGTGGGGAAGAATATTGAGATGTGGGATACCTTTGCGAAGACAGTCCTCTTGCCTTGGGGTGTGTTTTACGGTGCCCCGGATGACTGGTGATAAGCTTGCATGTGGTAATAATACTGGTACTGGCAGTAGTAATAGTCATAATGCAAAATACAAGTAATAATAAGACAATAATGATGGGCGATAATCGTAATCATGATAATAGCAATCAAAAGACCAATGGCAGCAACAAAAATAGCAGTATCAATAGCAATAATAATCATAATAATAATAATGGTAATAGTAATAAGATCCTGCGTCTGCCAATCTTTTCAGCAAGTATGTCCTATTTCCATGAGGGTGACAAACGCAAGGGGGCGAGAAAGGGAGAGAGAAGCATCTCGTAACTACCCATGAAGATTCCTCAATAGGGACCTCCCTAGAAGCCCGTCCCTGTAGATCCCTAAACCCTAAACCCTAAGCCCTAAACCCGTATGCCTAGGGTCCCAAAGGGCCGTCTGTTTCAGAAATTGCCCACAGTGCGGAAGCTGGCCTCCTGGCAGTTCCCTCCACCCGAGGGCACGATAGCCTCCAGGTTTAGGATTTATCAAGTTTAGGGGCTTAGGGTTTAGGATTTATCAAGTTTAGGGGTTTAGGGTTTAGGATTTATCAAGTTTAGGGGTTTAGGGTTTAGGGTTTATCAAGTTTAGGGTTTACCTACAACGATCGAGAAACATGAAACCGATAAACAGGATTTTGTACCTAAGAGTTGGCCATCTTTGCCGTTCTTAAGGGTCTATGTTGCTCTAGTAGGGTTTACCCCAAAACTGCAAGGCTAAACCAGCACAACGCAACGAAAGCGACAAAGCCATGTGGGTCTGTATTGGGTACCCCTGCTGGGGGAAACTACTGAAGGGGTGTATCATTATAAGGGGATGCTGGGGACCCTGTTCGGATTATATGGAGGCCATTTTGAGAAACTCACATATCAGGGTGCCAAAAGTGACCCCAAGGGAAATATGAGTCCTCCTTTAGGACTAGGTCGGGAGACCTTCCCTAAACCCCAAACCCTAAACCCTCAACCCTAAACCGCGCTGTTGGCACTTTGCTAGAATGCTTTTGCATTGTTGGCATAACGTTTTGCAAGTACCACTTCATGCTAGACTGCAGAACCATTTCACCTTTAACTTTGGGACAACAGAAGAGGCCACCAGATTGAGAACCCCTAGATCATGGATACATTTTGTCTCAAAAACTTCGCCTAAACCCTTATCCCACCACAGGTCATTCCGTCTTGTCATCTGCCTGGAGCGTCACCTCGTCACCACCGGCCATGGCGCGTAAGGTAGCAGTTTATCGAAACAGAGGTGCTAAAAAATTACAAGCATATCCATTGATGACAGGGAATGAGAGCCAGGCTTAGGTTTCTGAGGTTCTGCTGGAGGTCTGTTAGAAAGTTCCCAGGCAAGCGCATGGCACTAAAACACTTTAGCATAACTAATGAAAATATACAAATCAGTCACTGCTAAGTCTAAAGGAATACAACTAAATTTTGTTTTGATCAATACCATAAAGCCAGACAATGAAGGTGTAGCCTTTACTTCTGTCAGCAATCTGGACCAATTATTGGGTCTCTGTGTCTGCACATTACCGGGCACATGCTGCGTAATCGTAGCATTTGCATCCACGCTGGCAGGTGACTTCCGTCAAGGGGCGCTTTCAAGGAAGAAGCCCGCAAGAATTGCTGAGCTTGGGCAAAAGTGGCTCTAGACTGTAGGGTTTAGGGTTTCGAGCACTGTGCATGTTGCGTCACCCGATTGCGGTACCCAGCTCGCAGGTGCCGGGGTAGAGACAAGTACGATGGTCATCCTTCTTCACATACGAACCTAAACAGTCCACCTGCTGCGAAGCTACACGTACACCTATTGCTAGAAATTCCGCTCAACCTGATGGCCAGAAGTTTGTGAACTTGGATAGTTTCAAAGGATGATATGAAAATTTCACGGGGTTGGTGATGGCTGGTGCTCCTCCAAATATTCGAAAGCATGTGAGCCCAAATGTACTGACAACCAATAGCATCCCAGGGTTTGGAAAAATGCCTCTTTGCATTGCAACAAGCCTCCATCATGAGTCCAGCTCTTTGGAGGACTTGGCATGGCAGTACCAGAAGGATCTGAGCTGTCACAGCTCCGCTCTCTCTTGCTCGCTGTTTCCACTACATAAGCCTGTGATTTGTGTGCCCTGAATGGGCAAGTCAAGTTGGAGCCAGCTTTCCTCATCTGTCCTCACTGGTATGCATCCAGTCAGTTCGGAGTTCCCCTCGAAGTTCGTGTATCGCAAGCTTGGAGCCTCAAATATTTCAGCTGGCACATTGCCTGAGAAGTTGTTGCGATGGACTCGGAGGGCTGTGAGGTTCTCCAGTTTGGACAAAGCTTTCCCGGGCAGAGGGCCAGACAGCTCATTCAGTTGAAGATCCAGACTTCGCAAGCTCGGCCAGGATTCCGCTAAACCATCGGGAAAGGGACCATACAGGAAATTCGCATCCACCCAGAACCGCTCGATCTTATGCCAAGACCACCAAGGTGCAGAAGGGTTGTCCAATCTGCCAACCCAGCCCTCCAAGGATCATTCGGTTTCGGCTAAGGGTTTGGGGGTGTAGGTTGGGTCAATCCGCCACCCAGTAATGGTGACCACAAAAGACTGCTGTATGTATATGAACGCCGTAGTAACTCAATATTCCAGGATCATTACTGTAGGGGGATTGACCTAAGGTGTGGGTTTGTTTCTTTCCAAACTGTCCATTTTTGACCGCCTAGGCAGTGAAGACCTGATTCGGTCGGGGTGTAAGGTTTAGGGCTCAGGTTTTGGGATGATACACCACTAAATCCTAAACCCAAGATGGTAGCTTCGATTTTTCCATTATGCATATTACCCCTATATAACCCACTTATGACCCTTGTATAACCCTACCCCATATAAGCCCAATGTAAGGTTTTTCTGAGATGCCTTTGACCGGCCATATAACCTGTGTTCAGGCACGAATTCAGATCACTAAATGCTTAAAAGCCTAAAAAATCCAAAACCCTGAACCCTGAATCTCTAAAACTTCAACTCTAAAATCTGCGACTGAATCCTAAAGCCTAAACCCAAAATCAAAACTCCTACACCCTAAACTCTAAACTCCCAACTCCCCAAGCCCTCAATCCTGAATCCCTAAACCCTAGATCCTAAACATTCAGCCCTATGAATTCGATCCGACACCCTAAACCGAAGCTGCACTGCTGCGTTCAGTTGAGCAGCCCCTAAAATCCTAAACCCTAAATCTTAAACCCTCAACTCTAAATCCCTAAACTGTAAATCCTAAACTCTCAACCCTAGATTCTGACTCCTAGATCTTAAGCTTAAACCCTCAACCCCTAAGCCCCTCAATCCGAATTCCCTCGACCCTAAAATCTAAACCCTCAACCCTAAATTCTTAATTCTAAATCCGCTACCCAAAGGCCCCAATCCCTGAAGCATCAACCCTCAACCCTAGCTGGCTAAACCCTGAGTCCTAAACTCTCAACCCTAAATTAATCCCAAATCCTAATCCTAAGCCCCGAAGTAGGCCATGCCTCCCAAGGGCATTGCCAAGCCCAGGCATCTTCGTTAGTTGAATCTATGGGCTCTGCTTTATCCCAAGAAGGTCTCGCGCGACACCTGGGTTTGGTTTACGGGTTTGTGGCTTAGTGGCTGGGGTTTAATTAGGGTTTTTAGGTAGGCAGAGTATGTAGGGGCTATGTAATGTTTATCGGGGTTAATAAGGAATATGTACTGCTAGATAGGGTTTCTAGGGTTTAGGGCCTTGAGGGTAGGATTTTTTTGGGTTTTGGCAGGATACTTTCCAAAAAATGGAGAATCAAGTCTAAAAGAAAGTGGAAAGTCCTACAGAAACTAGGATTATGTAGCGGTTTATAGGGCTTGGGGATAGGTAGGAAAATTTGGGGGGTTTTCCCCAAATGTTTGTCTCGATTGAGCTTCTACTATATTTGACAATGCTCACAAGAACCCTATTCTTGCACAAGCCACCTTGTCAAGAAGTCAGGGGAGGTCTTGTTCCAGGGAGGCAAATGGTTGCAACTTCGATCCAAACCCTGCGAGTAGGCAATGAAGTTCACGAGCGTCCTGCCCAGAGATGACATTTTGAATCCACCCACACATATGAAATCACGTTTCCCTAAACCCTAAACCCTAAACCCGCTTTAGTCCTCCCCAGCGATGACAAGGCTGATGGTAAGGCCGAGTCGTCCCTGAATTGCAAGCCGCGAACATCCAATTCCACCAAAGGCAGCTCGCCGAGGCAGCCGGGCAAGCGTCTGATGTGTCCTGGGTTGGCCTTTCGACTTTAGAGCCCTAAAACCCTAGGGCCCCTTGAACTCATGAAGGGGGAAATTACTTGAACATCCCGAAACCCACCTGCTTTAGGGTTTTGGGGGTTTAGGGAGAGGTTCTAACCATACAGGGATTCGAGCGGTATATGGGAATATGCGGTGTTCAGAGGGCGTTACCCCATGATGAAGAATCCGTTGGAAATAAAATGAAAAATCCAATAAAAACCCGAAGTACTAGCTGGCTTAGCATCCGTTCAACTCCAATCTCCTCAACTTCTTCAGCGAGCAAATTGACTCGAGAAGCGGGGGGGGTGCTTCTGCCGGATGGTCATGGTTTTCATCCGAATCCCAGTGCACGGTAAGACTCAACAATTCATCCTTCCAACCCTTGAGAAGGGTTGAAATGTTGCCGATGACCTGCATGGAGTTTGGAACACTCAACTGTAGCACCCTGATAGCAGGGATCGCTTGAAGCCAGAAGTTCGGGTTCTTGAAAGCTCCAGCACCCATCAGGGCCAAGTGCTTGACACCCGCGGCCGCAGTTGGTGGCAATGCCTGATCCAGGCCCCTTAAACTCGGAGCAACTACAGGAGGGAGTTTCCGAGGGAGAGTTGATGTAAAGGGTCCACTCGGGCGGGTGGGCATTGAGCGTTGTAGAAGGAGTATATGAGGCGTTGTGTAACGTCCTACATGTTAACCTCCTCCTCCAGTTGCCTAGAATGAAAAAACTGAGGCCACCGCTTGCTCGCGGGGGGTTCTATAAGGAAACCAACTGAATGCTTCACGAACATAAGGAATGCCCTTGGTTTTTCCTTGGCAGCGCGGATATTGATAGTCGGGAGACTCGATGCCCTCAACGCTGAAGGCCTGTCATTCGGTCGAAACAAAAAATCCTCGATGACCCTAAAGACCCGAAAGCTTGGGAATGATGGAAAAGATTGGGCACATCTACAATACACATTAAAGAGGCTGGTGCCCTCTGCATCCGTTCCCTATATAACCTCTTGTAGGCCCTGTATCGGACAACAAGGATCCCTAACCCTTAACCTGCAGCGAAACTACCAACCTGGTGAAGTAGGGTTTAGGAGGTAGGGAGGAGGGTTTAGAGTGTAGGGTTGAGGGATTCTCATTTTGTGCAAACTCCTTTTTCCACCCAGCCAGTCTAGGGATTAGGATTTAGGGATTAGGGTGTAGGGTTGAGGGATTAGCGTTGAGGGTCTAGGTTACCCAAATAATGGAGAATCAGAGGCAAAAGAAAACGAAAAAAAATAATGGAAACCACCGCAGTGTTTACGAATTAGGTTTTCAATCTTCAGGGATACTACCCCGAAAATGGAGAACGATGCAAAAGAAAAGGGGAAATCAAATGGAAGCTAGGATGTCACGGGGCTTGTAAGGTTATCCCAGTATGGAGCGCAGTGAGCTTGAACCCTCCTGACCTTGAATTTTGCAAAGCATATGCCCGAAACCCTAGAGCCTAATCGTTACACCTCAAACCCTACACACACTTGTTGATCCCGAATGGAATCTGCCTGACCCTGCACCCACTTAAATCGCTTTGACGACAGCTCGAGTGCCAACAGCTGCCCTTCGCCACCTTTCAAAATCAGGGGACTTAATTCCCTCCTCCCTTGTCTTAGAAGAAAGCTCCCTTGACAACAAACCCCCCAACGTACTACCATTGCGTCTTAAGCGGAGTGTTGAGTGTCAGGGGTGTGGTTTTTTTTCATTATGGGATTTGATTAGTAAGTCTTTTTGTAGTGATGCTTTGACCACAGGCGATCTGCGGCAGGCCATTTGGCTAGAGGACATCATACATCTTAGCGCTTAGGTTCATCTTAAAACCTATAACCCTGAAAAGCATATAACAACAGCCGTTGTCCCCCTTGCTAACCTGCTTACTAAGTCTCCGGAAAGACAATGAAAACTAGCACCAGGGTCTTTAAGAATTGGGATTTAGAGTAGGAATTGCAGGAACGCACCCGAATCTTGCACTTGTATAGATAACCAGGTTACTCATTCCTTATTCAGTATTAACACAAAGATGGGGTTAGGGACCTGGGGTTGACGGTGATGTCAGGTGTGGGTTTAGTGGGTTGGGGACTTGGATGTGGAGACCAAACAAAAGATTCAACAGGATGTCTTTTAAGATGACACATGAAATAGGTGGGAACTGTAGCTCTGGCGGAAAATGAACCGTAAATCCTGAGCATTACAAAGTAATAATCTGAAAAGTTTGTCGAGCCACTCGAAGTTGGGGCACATGCCACAAAGTGACAGGCACAGGCCTGCTACAAGCAGGCATGGGTTTTAGGGTTCTGTTTGTTACCAAACCTTTTCTCCAGGGTATATGTCCCAAAGACGCCTTCACGGCGTCTGGGTTTGGGTTCAGGGTTGACGAGACCCTAAAACCCTCAAACCTTACAACCCTACAACCCCAAACCCTGAACCCTAAATCCCTAAATCCCTAAATCCCTTAATCCCCAAACCCTATTTTCCAGGTTCCGGCCTGCTGAGGCTGGCAGCGGCGGATGGCTCGCGACAGTCGGGTCGGTCCGGCAATCTCCAAGATTGTGGCTAGCAGGGCCTGTATGAGGGTTTAGGGTTTAGGGTTGAGGGTTTAGGATTTAGGTTTTAGGGTTTAGGATGCAGGGCTTAGGTCCGGGTGTTAAACAAGGATGTATGATCCCCTCCCCAAATATCAAACCCCAATCCCCCTAGTACTACATACTCTCAATATACTATAATATACCACAACGGGGAATATTTAATATGACGTAAGTTAAGGAGGTTTTAATGTGAGGGGGAAAGGAATACTAATGTGCCCCGTTCAGGGTATGAGGTTTAGCGGATTGGCGGCTAGCAGGGCCTGACAAAGGTTACACGTACGGGTACTCGAAATCATGCATGCCGCTAGGTAAGCTACAGCTTGGGAATTATGGAAGTTTAGTTAACTAACAGAATGCAGGATCTTTGGCATCAACAATATGAGCCCAAGGGGTTTAGGGTCTAGGGGTTTCAGGTTCAGGGTTGAAAGTTGAGGGGTTAGCGTTCAGGACCTTGAGCTACCTTGGGTATGCGCCCTTAACCATGGGTCCTCCTTATGCCCTAAACCGTTTTCTTTGGAGCTTAGAGTCTACATTTCAGCACTTCAAGTTTGTAGAGCTTCGCAAGCCACACAACTGTGGGATTCAACATAAGCCCCGTCCACATGGCAAACCATAAAAAGCAATACTAGCAACAGTAGTAATAATACTAGTACTAAAAACAACAGTAGCAGATTCAAAGTAATGATAACCATGAAAGTAGCGCAATGATCCCTATCCTGGGGTCCTTACAGCACTGCTCAAGCCTGCTCCTCGCTGCGCAGCTTCAGTGATTCGCTATCAATCTTTCGAAGCCAATATGTTCCAGCCATCGCTGGATAAAGTTCATAGCCAGCATACATGCCTGCGTCAAGCTGTAAAGACTCTGAACCTGTTTATGAACGGGTTCCCTGAAAAATGGAGTGTTGTCCCAAAGTGCCAACTAGATGCTCATGATTTCTTCTTTTTGCAGGCCGTGCTGGACAATGGTAGCCAATTGCCGCAGCCGTTTCTTCCACGTGATTTTGCCACGGGATTTTCTGTCACCTTCCTCAAAACGATCATCCCTTTCTGGTTTGAAGTCCATGAAATCCCTCCAAGCAGCCAAAGTCTCTTGCATGAACTCCGTATAGCCACCCTGGGCAAGGTCCTCCGGAAGTGAGGGGCGAATGCTTGACTTGCTCTTCAGCCTGTCAAACTCCTCATCCAAGTACTTGGCGTCAAGGCCACCTGCCCGCAAAGCAACCTTCACTTCCCGAACCTTGGGTTCAACAGGAGGTTGGCAATCCCCACGAGAGGACCCGGCAGAAGGTACCTGTGCCGCCCCCAGCACAACTCCAGTAAATCGATCGGCGAGCATCATAAACATGATGCGACATCCCCAAGACTTTCGTAACATTGCGGCACCTGCTGCGCGACGGCTTCCTATAAACTCGCGCATTTCCTTGTGAGCAACAAGCCACTCGTCTGCAACCAGTACACCTGATGCTCTGTATGATGCATCCACAAGCATGTTCATTGGGCTGTTCCAAACATTACTTGCCAGCCATCATTCTCAGCCCTGGTACCCGCTCAACAGCAACATACTGCAGCAGCAGCATTTTTTTCCCGCCCATGTCGGGGCGTGAAACGGTCTCATGATGCTGCGTATGCATAGCTAATGTTGGGCCTCGGGAAGGGGGCGCCGCGCTTTGATTCAGATGCCTGGCAACTTCATGCCTTGGATTCATCCCTGTGTGCTGTAGCACAAGGCTATAGACTCTATAGACACAATGAGAAAACGAAAAACAGCAATTCATCATTAATTGTGAGTCGTTTGTGCCGATGTGCTGACGGAGGAAGCTGCGAGCATGCATGCAGTTTCGCGGGAGATGGGCGCGTGAACAAAAAAATGCCAAGAGCGGGAGATGCTAGCTTGAACAAAAAGATACGAAGAGCCAGCTGCGGCAGCACAACACAGCATGATACTACACGGGGCAGGGAAAACATGTTGTGCTTGAGAAGTGGATCGGAGTCAAATTCTGAGCCTTGGACATGCAAGCTTCCTGGCCTTGTGATTGGTTCGGCTGCAAAGTTTCAATTTCCAGTTGGCAGTGACGAGGGGCAGGTGTTCGCTTGTTGCGTCTCTCCGCCCAGGGTTTGCGTGGCGTATCTCGGATGACCTGGCTGAATCCCATTGCAACGTGTTAATGCACAGCATGCTGAAGTTGGGGCGCATGAGTTGGAGTACTTTTGCTGATGCATCCCAAACCAGAAACATAGCACCCTAGAGAGGAGTCGCCAAAGATCCCACCTGAGAAAGTCTTGCAAGCATCATGGCACACGATTTTTCACAAACAACTTTAAGCATACTTTCAATAACTGCCCCCATGAAAGGAAGAATCATACACAACTTTAAGCACTGTACCCAGCTTGGCAAGATCTTCCAACTCAACTGGAGACACAACAACCTGTACCCGTATGTTTGCAATGCAATTTATTCCCCACATCCTGTGTGGGGTTCTAATTATTTAGTGTGTCGCCCGGCACCCGCAGCGTGCTCTTCCATCGCGCAAACATATTGGACGCGTCGATGTGAAGTTATAGATTGCGCTCTCGTTCGAGACGTCTTCATTTCGGCGTATCTTACGATGATGCGTCTGGGAGGCTGGATTGCCTTTACTTTCCTCTTGGTAGGAGGGTCTCCTACCAAAGGGGTCGCGTTGAAATTTTGCTTAAAATTATCAAAAATCGCGCTCTCGCTCGAGACGTCCTCAAAATTTTGATGGTTTTTATTGTTGAGCCGGATGGTT